TACTCGTCGTCGTCGTCGTCCATAGCGCCCTAGGGCTAGCACTCCCTAGCGCCAGTACTTCCTAGGGCTAGCAATCCCTAGCGCCACTACTTCCTAGCACTTCCTCGGACTAGCACTCCCTAGGACTAGTATTCCCTAGGGCTGGTACTCCGTAGTGCGAGTACTTCCTAGGACGAATACCCCCGTGGACGAATACGCCCTTGAGGTAGTAATTCCGAGGTCTGGTACTCCCTGGGGCTAGCACTCCCTGCGGCTAGTACTCCGTAGGACTAGCACTCCCTATGAATGATAGTACCTAACACCAACACTACAGCATCATAGTACTACCACACTACAGCACTACTACCACAATACCAGTACCACAACACCACAACACAGCTACCACAACACCACAACACCGCTACCACAATACCACAACCACAACACCACAACAGCGCTACCACAACACCACTACCACAGCACCACTGCCACTACCACAACACTACTACCTCCTAACAACTCGAACTTGCCAACACCACACCACTAACACAACACTACCAACACCACACCACTAACACAGCACACCACTACCAACACCCCACCACTAACACAGCATACAGCACAACCCGCCACTACCAATACCACACCACTAACACAACATTACCAACACCACACCACACCACTAACACAGCACAGCGACCACCACACCACTAACACAGCACTACTACCACGTTGGTTCCAGATGGGAGTTACTGTGGCCACTTTTGCCTGCGCGGGAGTGCGTTCCCTTAAGGGTTGTGAATCTTTCCAGATCTAACATGAGATACCTTTAAACATTACTTTTCATTGAGCGGCCTGCGCGGGCCACAGTAACTCCCATCCCGCCGCGCGACGGGCCACACTAACACCCAACGGGCCACACTAACACCCAACGGGCCACAGTAACAACCGGTCGCCCCTCGCCCTCCCTCTCCCCACGGGGGGGCCCGCATGGGCGGACCCCCCGAGGAGCGCACCCCGCATGGACGGACCCCCATGGTCCTGTGAGCGGACCCCCACAGCGGGGACCCTCCTGTCGGCGGCGAGCGAGCGGGTGAAATCAGAAGAGGAAGGCCTTCTCAGAAGGCGGCGGGACTTCTCAGAAGCTCTCGCGCCTTCCGAGAAATGTTCTCGGTGCCCTCGGGGAAGGCTCAGAACACTTCTCAGGAATCCGGGGGGTTTTCGAGCCTTCTGAGAAGGCCCGCCCCTTCTCACTTCCCCCCCCCCCTCGCTCGCCGCCGACTGACAGTTGGACCCCGATGGGTTGACACCTCTGGGTGGACCATGGGTGCAGCTTATCCTCGCCCCATCAAAACTAGAACCATCGTGCGCGCTTCGCGCGCGCTCAGGTTCTTTAGAATCCCAGCTTGAGATGTCGACGGTTTGGCTACACTTTCGAACATGATTTCAGTCCGAAGATTCCCCCCTGGACTGGCCGCTGTTCACACCTAGCCCTACCTAGGTGACGATGCTAAGGGTATAGATGGCGAGAGTTGCAGGAATGAGGATGTTTCGCATAACTGTGACTATGTGAACGCGTATAATGAGAACGGTTCTGATCTTCTGATGGTGATGTCGACGACGATGTGGATGACAAAGATGAGTATGATGACAAGCATGAGGGCGATACTTAGGCCGATTGTGGCGATGATGACGGTACGTACTGCGATGATGATAGTAATGGCGATGCGGTGGACGATGGCGATGGACATGACAGTGCTGACCATAATGAACATGTAGACGGTGACGGTGATGAAAAGAGTGTGGGGACGACAATTGTCATGATGGCGGTGGCGATGATGAACCTGTCCGTGATCGTGACGTTGATGGTTGCGACGCAGCGAATGCATAGGTCTATGGGTGGGCTGTTGTTTCGGATATGACTGTAGCCCAACGCCGTTGCAAGCATAGGTTGTGAACAGCCCTTCCTGGAACACAGAGGTATCCAGGCTGACGACAAAGATGATGAGGGGGACCCGCCTGGCTCGGGCCCGCTTCGAGGCCGCGGAACGGCCATGCTTCAGAGCTCATCTGGGTCTCTTTGGGAGTTTTTGGCGGGTGTTGGGAGCCTCTTCTGGGCCTGTTTGGTCCTCTTGGGGGCCACATGTCACGTCGGCGTCGGCTCCTCAGGAGGACCGTGTGGTGTCCGACATCGCGGGGGGTATTCAACCTTGGACGATCGGCGGCCTTGAAAGCGTTCCACCTCGAAAGCCAGCGCCCATTCAGGGGGCCTTTTGGGGCGTCCTGGCGACGTGTTGGCCGTGTTGGCGTGTTGGCTGTCTCGGAACGCTCGTGGGGCCCCCGAAGCGCCTCCTGGAGGCGTCCTGGGCAGCCTGGAGTCCGGGGGTTGTCTTGACCAATCGTGGGACGCCCTGGGGCCGTCTCGGAACTCCGAGGGCCGCCCAAGGAACCCCTGGGGAGGACGGGGGCCGCTCCGTGCAAGAGTGCGCCCCCCCTTCCCCCATGGTGCCACGGGGCTGGGACCTCCCATGCAAGTGTACCTGTACATTTGTGGAACACATGTCTGTGAATGTAGGTATGTATGCACAGATGTGAATGTTTAGGTCGGGATGCCCCCCTACAGGCGGATTTTGGGCGAAAAATAAAACATACACCAAATAAACACCCAAATGATCAAACATTGTCAAACATCGTCCTCATAATATCTTTTACAATTTTTGAGTACTCCTCATGCAGAGGGGCATGCCCAACTTAAGTGTATGTGTGTATATATATACACGTGCATACGAACATTTACGTACATACAGGACTTGAGGGCTCGCTTCGCTTCGCCAGTAATCTTGGTCCTGCGTCAAGATACTGCCGGGGGGACTGCCGAAGGTTTCATCGGTGCGGAAAGGTCATGACCATGCCTGGAGTGCGGGCCATCGGCTTGATGGAGCCCCCAGGTAAAGTTCATGTCATGTTGGGAAGGGCCTATAATTGCCACGGGGGCGACGCTCGGGCGCCGCCCAAGACGCCGAATCCTACACATGTCTGGAGCAACCGCTTGCCAAAAACGTCTGGAACAACCTGGGTGTCCAAAGCATGTCCGGAACGTCCGGGACAAAATTCGGTGCCAACCCAACGCTCACGGCGCCAAAGAGGGGCGCGCCCCCCGGCCCGCGCGAGAACAGAGGCCCTCGTGCTTCGGAAGCAAAAGGGGGGCGGCAACCCCAGGCCGGCTGTTCACTCCGACTCGCTCTTCGACGGCCACCAGGGGCCGAACATGGCCCAAAAAGCCTTGCGAAGCGCTCTCTCACGGGGGGAGGAGGGAGTGAGGGATGGAGGAGGAGAGAGAAGGGACGACAAAGAGGAGGGGAGTGTGATGGAAAAGAGAGAGGATGAGGAGGACGGTGGCACAGAGGATGCGCTTGAGTTGTGAGATGTCTAGTTCCAGCAGCAGTGTTAGTGGTAGTGGTAGCTGCATTGGCCGTGGCATCGGTGGTGGCAGTTTGTGGACGAGGTGGAGGGGGGATCTGATCAGCGGATGAGCGCCGTCGGCAAGCAGAAACGTCGTCAAGCGAGTGATATGTTCGATACGTCCCCCCTCACAGCAGCCTTAGAGGTGACAAACTCCTCCCCTTGTACTTATCCGTCCAGTCCTCCCCATTCCTTCTCCCTCTCTACCTGCTTCCCCCACCTCTCCCTCCTGCCCCCTCCCTGATTCCGGAACTTCCCCCACCATCCACCTCATCTGATCTCGTTCTTCATCATCCTTCACTTCCTCTAATTCCTCTCCCTCCTCTTACTCCTCATCATCCCTCATCCTCGAACTTCGCCAAGCATTGGTGCCACTCCCCGAACCCCCCCCCCAGCACGAGCATCAGGAGGACCGAAGACGACGAGGAACAAGATGACGCTGGAGGGGACGGTTGCGACGACAAACACCACGATGCGAGCGACAACGACCTTGACAACGACGAGCACGCCGACGACAAATCCAACGACAACGAACACGAACCCGACGACGACGAAATGGAACGCAACGGCGAAGGCGACAGACACGGCAACATGCCCCCGATAGCGAATCCGCAGGCTACCGGACGGGGCGGGCATTCGGGCCCCTATCGGCGATCAATGGGCGATTGTGAAGGGGCCCTTGGACACACAAATTAATACACACAAATACCGGGATTCCCCATATTTTCAAATATTTTTTAGCTTTTTGTCTTCCCCCCACTTCCATGTTTTCCCATATTTTCCTGGGAGTGGACGATGAATTTGGCCTGAGTGTTTTTTCCCTCCTGAGATCGGGGGCCGATGCGCGCCTCCTAAGCAGTACGCCACAGCGACCCTCGTCGTCTGGCGTTCGGGTGACACACCATGGGGTCTCCGGCGCCCGCGCGTGGCGATCCCGGCGCGTGGCGATCCGCACCCACGAAACGCTCTCGGCGACGCGCAGCTGCTGGAAGGCATTCCGAGGCAGGAAAATCCCAAGGAACCAACGGCAACGTCCGAACCCCGCCTCTAACGTTGCCCCTGGAGCAGGACCTCACCAGCAGGAGAGCATGCAATTACCACCCCCCTCAGGCCGCTGCCCCCAAGTAGGGGCCTCCTGGATGGGATCGGAGTAGGTGGGGTCGGAGGGTCGCGCCGCATCCCCGATGCATCGGCGCCGTGGGCGTAGAGAATATCGGACAAAACATCAAACCGCATCGCCGATGCATCAACGATGCGGCGCGATCCTCCCACCCCATCACTTGAGCAGGGACCGACCGTCGCTTGTCGCTTCGCCACTGCTTGAATCACCTCTGACCCCATCTGGGAGGCCTAGATATGCTGCGCGCAGGAGTGATCCTCGGCAAGAGTGACCTTAGTGCGCGGCCAAGGGGAGGGGCCCTTCGGGGACACCACCAAGCGCGCAAGCCGCTACTATCGCACCGCATACAGCGATCGGGGGGACGCGTTGGGTCCGCGCAAAAGGTTCACCCTGGCGAAAGGTCACTCCTGCGTGTAACCGACTAGATCCCTGAGGGAGCCAACTCTCCACGAAGTCCCGGCCAGCGAGCTCCACCGTGCCGTAGCCCGAGTGGTAAAAGGCGGCCGCGGCGCGGCGCCCTGCGTCGCAGGGGGGCGCCGCGCGCGCGGGTGCGGGCAGCACCGCGGGGGGGGGCGCTCCTCGTAGTGCTCCGCGCCCTGCTCTGCCTGCTCAGCCTCGCCTCTTCTGCCTCGCCCACTCTGCGTGCAACTCGGGATACGACTCCTCCGCCTCTTCTCGATCCCGTTCCTCCTGTTACTCGCCCTGCTCATTGGCTCCATCCTCCTCCATCATCACCACCACGCAATCATCACCACCACCATCATCACCACCACCATCATCACAGTCATCACAGTCAGCACAGTCATCATCATCATCACCATCATCATCATCATCATCATCATCATCATCATCATCATCATCATCATCATTATCATCATCAGCATCAGCATCAGCATCATCATCATTATTGTCATCGTCATCGTCATCGTCATCGTCATCATCATCAGCATCACCATCATTATCATCGTCATCGTGACTATCGGAGTTTAGGGCAACATGATCATCATCATACTCACCAACATCAGCATGAACATCATCATGATCATGATCAGGACCATGATCATGATCATAAGCATTATCAGCATCATCATCACACTCATCATCATCATCATCATCATCATCATCATCATCATCATCATCATCATCATCATCATAGTCATCTTAACCACCACCATCATCGCAACCACCACCACTATCACCATCATCATCGTCACCCTCATCATCATCATACTCATCAGCATCTCAATCTTCATAATCATCATCACCATCGCCATCATTATCATCATCGTCATCGTCATCATTATCATCATCATCTTCATCGTCATCAGCGGCATCGTAATCGTCATCGCCATCGTCATGGTCATCGTCACCGCCGTCGTCACCAGCACCTTCATCCTCATCATTACCATCGTCATGCTAATCGTCATCATCATCATGATCACCATCACCATCATCATCATCATCATCATCATCATCATCATCATCATCACCATTATCATTATCACTCGCATCATCACAATCATCATCATCCTCATCATCATCATCATCATCGTCATCGTCGTCAGCATCATCACCACGACCATCACGATCATCATCACCATCATCATCAGCATCGTCATCATCAGCATCGGCATCGTCATCCTCGTCGTCATCACCATCACCACAATTGTTATTAATTGCGTTCTCGCCATCTTCATGATCATCATCATCATCATCATCGTCGTCCTGCTCGTCCTGCTCCGCGCCCTGCCATGCCTGCTCAGCCTCGCCTTTTCTGCCTCGCCCTCTCTGCGTTCAACTCGGGATACGACTCCTCCGCCTCTTCTCGATCCCGTTCCTCCTCTTACTCGCCCTGCTCATTGGCCCCCTCCTCCTCCTGCATCATCACCACCACCACGAAATTATCATCAACACCATCATCATTAGCATCAGCATCACCATCAACATCATCATCAGCATCAGCAACAGCATCATCATCATCACCATTATCATTATCACTAGCATCATCATAATCATCACCATCGTCATCGTCATCGTCATCATCATCATCGTCATCGTCATCGTCGTCAGCATCATCACCACGACCATCACGATCATCATCACCATCATCATCAGCATCGTCATCATCAGCATCGGCATCATCATCCTCGTCGTCATCACCATCACGACAATTGTTATTAATTGCGTTCTCGCCATCTTCATCATCATCGTCTTCCTGCTCGTCCTGCTCCGCGCCCTGCCATGCCTGCTCAGCCTCGCCTTTTCTGCCTCGCCCTCTCTGCGTTCAACTCGGGATACGACTCCTCCGCCTCTTCTCGATCCCGTTCCTCCTCTTACTCGCCCTGCTCATTGGCCCCCTTCTCCTCCTTCATCATCACCACCACGTAATCATCATCAACACCACCATCATCAGCATCAGCATCAGCATCAGCATCAGCATCAGCATCAGCATCAGCATCAGCATCATCATCATCATCATCAGCATCAGCATCAGCATCAGCATCAACAGCATCATCATAATCATTACGTAGCCCCCGCAGATGCGGATAATAGTGAGGGGGCGGTGGGGACGTCGGCATTCTGCGAGACTCTGGAGAAGCCCGCCGCAGGCGCCAAAGTTTCACAAATTATGCAACGAGCCCACCGCAGGCACAGATTTTTTCTTCAAACCACTGTGGATCGGTCGCGGTTGGGTCGCGATGGGTTGCGGGTGGGTCGAAAATGGGTAGCGGGTGGGTCGCGGGTGGGTCGCGGATGGGTCGTGGGGTGGGTCGCGGATGGGTCGCGGCGTGGGTCGCGGGTGGGTCGCAAGTTGGTCGCGGGTGGGTCGCGGGCCGGGTCGCGGGTGGGTCGCGGGTTGGGTCGCGGGTGGGACGCGGGGTGGGTCGCGGGTCGCGAGGTGGGTCGCGGGTGGGTCGCGTGGGGGACGACGACAACAAACAACAACAACAACAAAGGAATGCTGGCTTTCTGAGCCCCTTCGAATGGGGCGAGCTTCCCCGTCGCTCCCCACAACAGGTACGCCGGGTTTCTGACGCCCCCTCTGGGGAAGGGGGGGGAGCACCGCATTGCATCGCACCGGCTTCAAAGCTGGCCTCCGATGGGAATGGATTCGATTGCCAGATCCCATCGGCGAGGCTAAGGCGCCTACAAGCGCCGACAGTTCCGAGGCCATGTCGCCCCCACGCAAGTTCGGCATCTACTGAACCCATAATGAGGAATCCCTACTAATGAACCCTTTTTAATCAAGAATCCTGACAAGGACAATTTGTGTCCGGAATCCCCTTATGAAACTCTTGCTACATAATCTTTACTAGGAAAGCTCAGTCCCAAATCCTCACTAAGGAACCCTGACTGAACAATGATTACTAAGCGAACCTGAATAAAGAAGCCTTACTGAGGTAATTTAACTCAAGAGTCCTCACTCAGAGGACCCTGGCAATGCATCCTGGCGATGGGAATATTACTCAAGAGTCCTTGATCCAAGCATCTGAATGACGATGTTTACTGCGAGGCTCTTACTCAAGAGCCCTTACTAAGAGCACCTTCGTAAATAAGATGTACTACGGGAATGTAACTCAAGAGTCCCCACCAAGGGAAAATTACCAAGGAATCCGTATCATGCCAATATAACTCAAAGGTCCTCACTGAGGGAAGCTCACTAAGGAATTCGTATCATGGGAATCGTACTCAAGAGTCCATACTAAAATGTCCTTAGTGGAGAATCCTTACTACGGGACAATTACTCAAAAATCCTTACTCTCAACACCTCACCATTCTAACGGAACTCTTACTCAAGGGCCCTTACTAAGAGAACTCTCGCAAATAAGAATTGCTAAAGGCATCTGAGATAAGGGTCCTTACTCAGAGAACCTGAACGGATAATCCTTACGATGGGGGCATTGCCCAAATAGTTTTTAACTAAGAGAACCTTAATGCAGTATCCTTACGTGGGAATAATACTCAAGACTTCTTACTAAGATATCTTCCATTGATAATCCTTACGATGGGAATCCTACTGAAGAGTTCTCACTGAAAGAACCTAGATGAGTAATCCTTATGATGGGAATATCACCCACAAAGTCTTGACAAATCAAATCTTGATAGAAGAAGGTACCTTGCTACCGGACTCTTACTCAAGAGTCCGCACCAAGGGAACATCACTGAAGAAGCCTGGCTGCGGGAATGTTACTCCAAAGTCCCTACTCAGAAAACCCGACTGATGAATCCTGACGGCGGGGGTATTACTCGCAGGTCCTTACTAGGAGTACATTACTGGAGAATCCTTACTACGGGACTCTTACTCCAGAGCCCTTTCTAAAAAAAAAATAAAAACATCTAAACGAAGGGTTCTTACTGCGGGATTGTTACTCCAGAGTCCCTACGAAGAGAAATTTAATCAAGAAGCCTCACTAGGGCAATGTTGCTCTGAAGTACTTACTCAAGAATCCCTACTGCAGAATCCTTGCTATGGGGGTCTCGCTCAAGAGTTCGTGCTACGAAAACCAAAAGGAAGAATCCGTACTCCTTCATGAGGAATCCTTACTCTGGGACTTTTCCCAAGAGTCGCACTACGGGAATAGCACTCAAGGGTCCTTCCACAGGGAGCCTCCATAAATAATACCTAGCACCCCGCAGATGCGGATAAGAGTGATGGGGCAGGTGGGGGACGTCGACAGTCTGCGGAACTCTGGGGAAGCCCGCCGCGCCAAAGTATCACAAGTCATACAACGGGCCCGCCGCAGGCGCCGATTTTTTCTTCAAACCAATGTGGATCGGTCACGGCTGGGTCGCGGGTGGGTCGCGAGTGGGTCGCGGGTGGGTAGCGGGGTGGGTCGCGGGTGGGTCGCGGGTGGGTCGCAAGTTGGTCGCGGGTGGGTCGCGGGGTGGGTCGCGGGGTGGGCCGCGGGGGGACGACGACGACAAGCAACATCAACAACAACAACAACAGCAACAATTACTAGCACGTGGGGACACTCCGTTCTCACCAGTGCCAGGGTTTTCATACGACGCCCGCCAATACCCCCACTTTGTGGGGGGGCCGGTTCAAGCTCTACCACATTTCCAAACGACTCTTCGCCACCACCCACACCCAGCTTCCCGCCCTATGACGTTCGGACACTTCACTTCGTGGCCTGCGGACGACCGTGGCTACTACACTGGCGCATGGGTACAGCGATTCGTATGATTTTATGTTGCGCGGTGCTAAAATTCCTACGAAACCCAATGGTTTTTGAAGATTTCGGCGTGCGCACGAAAAGAAAAAACGAATGTGTCCCGCATGGTATTATTTGACAGGGATGATGGCCCTGGCAGGTGCGCAACCGTTGTTGGAGAAGTTCGAAGCACGTGAAGAAGTTGCTCGCGAAAGCCCGTTTGACAGAAATGTTTAAAAAGTGTTGGGTTTCCTACAAATCCGCAAGAGCGCGCGGGATGAAATTTTGACATTTTTTTTTTGAAAAACCATTGGTTTTTTTTTTGATGTTTTTATGTTAAAATCGCTACGAACACTAAGGTTTTGGAAGGATTTCGTCTTGCGCGCGCGAATGTCCACTTTACCTTATTTTTGGCAAGGGATTCTTGAAGTTTGGTTATGTTAGAACAAGAAATGTCTACTTTAGCTCATTTTTTGCAAGGGAAAGCGGGGGGGAACAAAACAACCGGATCCGGACCAACCCGTTTTGCCTGAGACTTCCTCACGAAAATTATGAAAATGAGGCTGCGGCCTAGGCGCGGCGGGGGGGGCGCGCACCAGGGGTCCCAACAATAATTATTCTTTAGAATTAATAATGTTCAACGCAACAAGCAGAATCCTCACCACGGATTCTCACTTCGGCCACGCACCCAGGGACACTGAATGACCGTTCGCCCCCGACTTGGCGGGCATCGGCAGGCTGGTGGGCCCGCACTGAGGAAATCGGACTCCGAAGCGCGGGATCCGAAGTCGAATCGAATCGGGATCGGAAGCTATCGGAATCGAGTCTGATCGAATCGGAGGAATCGACATGAGCACTGCGGACCGCCACACGCGGTCCCCCCCGCCTTCCTTCCGAGACCGCTCGGACGGCGCGCCTCCGCAGGACCCCTCTTACTGCGAACGAGCAGCCCACTTTTTTCGTCGGCGGCGAGGCAGAGGCAATCCGCACCAGCGTGGGGCTAATCGGGGCAAACGAAAGGCGAATTGTCCGGCGTGCAAGAGGAAAGAACGAAGACGAGGGTAACGAGCAGCACACACCCATACCCATAAGGGGGGTCGGAAGAGGAGGACTGGCTATGGGTATGGGTCGGGTTTGCACTGACCTGGGTCAATGCACACGGGTCAATCAGGTCTTGCATGATCCTGTAGGATCCTGCACGCCAGCCCGGGTCAATGCAGCCGTGGCTCTGCAGGATTCTGCAACCTCTGGTGCTCTGGCAGACCCCCGATTGCATTGGCCCCCGTCCCTTGAGCCCCGAACGGGTGCGGGTCGTAGGACCCCAAGGGAAGCTCCCGTTCGAGCGGGGTCCCCAGTCCGACAACACGCACCGATAGCTGGGGAAACCAAAAGGGTACGGATACCGCTGCTCCCTAGACCTCTCCCGGGGTGCGTTCTGACCAGGGTTTCGAGGCGAATCCAGCGGTGGCGACGAGGGCCTCCCAAGAGGCCCCCAACAGCAACGAAGACGGGAGAATGTTAGCGGTAGCGGTGTGGGTCCCGCTTGCTCTTCTGGACAGCCCCCTCCCGTCCCCCCTATGGGTGTGTGTGTGTGTGGTTCGCTCGTTGCCCCTGGGCGACGGCGGCTCGCCCGCTTCCGACCCGGCCCCCCGCGGCCGCTCCTGCAGAGACCGCCGTCCAGCACAGCTCGTCCAGGCCGACCCGCAGGAGCACGCTGACGTCCTGGGAGGGCTAGCGGCTAGCTGGGCAGAGCGCTGGCAGAGCGACCCTGGCAAGGCCCGCCCTGGGCCCAGATCCGCACTCGGGTGCTGCCAGAAGCGCCCCTGGCCCAAGGTGCCCCCAGTATTGCCCTCGGCCTCCAAAGCTTCCCTCGACGCTGCCCAGGAGGGCCCCAGCGGCTCCAAAAGGGAGCGAGAAGCTGGGGGCACCTTGGGCCAAGGGCACGAGGCCCAGAGGGCCCCAGCGGCTCCAAACTGGATCCGTCGTCCAGGACGGACCGCGCCAGGGTCCTGGCAACACCAACGCCGATACTGGTCAAGATCTATCCTGGGTCCAGATCCTGGGCGCCTGACTCTCTCGTCCCTCCCTCCCTCCTTCGCTCCCTCCCTCCCTCCCTCCCTCCTCCTCCTCCTCCTCCTGTTCCTCCTCCTCCTCCTCCTCCTCCTCCTCCTCCTCCTCCTCCTCCTCCTCCTCGGCCATCAGTTACTCGAGTCTGGTCTCCAAATGCTTCCCGAGCAACATCCCGGCCTGTTTTCCGGGAATCGCGTCCAGCCGAGGAGGCAAGGCAGAGAGGGAGGATCAGGCGGTCGGTCGGGAAGACCCTCGATGAGGCGAAGCTGCTGGAAGGCCCGCGGGGGCTCGAAGACTTCCAAAAGCTCCCAAAGCCGTCGGAAATTTTCGAAGGCGCACAGTCAAAACTGATAGCAAGGATGCGCGATATGGATGAAAGCCCTCTGGACGTCCGAGCTCAAGCGTTTCCGACAGCGGCGGGCAAACGAGAGTAGCCAAGGATGGACCAACGAGGAACGGATGTGAGGGTACACTTTGGGAGGTTACACCCACACACCCACACACCCACACACCCACACTCCCACACACCCACACACCACCACACCTACACACACCCACACTCCCACACACCCACACACCCGCACACACCCACACTCCCACACACCCACGACTTACACACCACCTACACACACCACCTACACACACCACCTACACACACCACCTACACACACCACTTACACACCACCTACACAACACCTACACAGACCACCTATACACACCACCTACACACACCACCTACACACGCCACCTACACACACCACCTACATACATCACCTGCACACACACACCACCTACACAGCACCTACACACCACCTACACACACCCTACATACACCACCTACACAGACCACCTACACAGACCACCTACACACCACTTACACACCACCTACACACCACATACACACACCATCTGTCATGGAACCTCCAGGGCTAGGGGCCACCGGCGTTTCTGTAGTCGGCCAAAGAGACCAGTGCATAGTCGCGGAAGCTTCCGAAGCTGTGGGATGCTGAGCGTCTATTCACCAAACTTCTTCGCCGAATTCCTTGGCCCCATGGCCAACCGAACGACGTGGTGCATTCAACATGAAAGAGAGACGGGTCCTGTTGGAAACGGGTCTGGACCCTGGGGCCTTCCCCCAAGACTTCTCTTCACCCGGAATCGTTTCCTGACAGTCCAGGAGCCCGCGAGGCGCCACGGACACGCCAATATGGAGAAAATTATACCGACAAAAAACCCAATCAATGGATGGCTTTCGCTGGAAAGATCGACCGGGAACCCGGGAATTAAGGAATCCCAAACCCACCGAAATCGGCCCGGAGCCGATAGCCGGGAACCCGGGAACCCGGAACCCGGGAACCCGGGAACCCAACCTGCTACCAAAATCGGCGGTAAAACTTTCGCCAAACCTTTCTCAACTTCCGCTAGGACCCCTTCAATGCAAGCACTGATTGGGGAAAAACCTCTGGACCCGTTCCCATCAAGACCCGCTTCCTTAGTGGTGGTGCTGCACACGTCGAGACGACCGAGGCGTTGTCGGCGCCGCCCCCCCCCTCCCCCCGACGGCCGTGCCCGACATCTCGTCCGCGTGCGGTGGTGGAGTGAGCGGGGAGGAGGCGAAGGGTGAGGAGGAGGAGGATGAGGAGGAGGAGGAGGAGGAGCAGGCATGATGAGGAGGAGGAGGAGGCGGAGGCGGAGGCGGAGGAGGAGCAGGCAGGACGAGAAGGAGCAGGCAGGACGAGGAGGAGGAGAACGAGGAAGAGGCGCAGGAGAAGGAGGATGAGGCGCAGGAGGAGGAGTAGGAGGAAGACGAGGAGGAGGAGGAGGAGGAGGAGGAGGAGGAGGAGGAGCGGCAGGACGAGGGAGCAGGAGGAGGAGGAGAGGAGGAGGAGGAGGAGGGAGGAGGAGGAGGAGGAGGAGGAGAGGGGGATGAGGAGGACGAGGAAGAGGCGCAGGAGGAGGAGAAGGAGGAAGTGGCGCAGGAGGAGGAGGAGGAGTAGGAGGAGGAAGACGACGAGGAGGAGGAGCAGGAGGAGGGGGAGGAGGAGGAGGAGGAGGAGCAGGAGGAGGAGGAGGAGGAGGAGGAGGAGGAGGAGGAGGAGGAGGAGGGGGGAGGAGGAGGACCAGGGGTCAGGAGTTAGGAATCCCATGGCGACATCCCACCAGCCCTCTGGGCGTCGGTGCTTCAGGGCGTTTCCTCTTCCACCCCTCCCTCTTCCCCTTCGGGGAGGGGTTTGACCCTCCCCCTGCCCCCTCCCAAGGTACCTGGACGGGGGGGGCCGCGAGCGGTCAGAGCGTCCAAAACGGCCTCGGCGAGGAAGCCAAACGCATTGATTTTACTTGGAGTTTGGGCCCCATGTTGGCCTCCTGGGGGGGGCAACCCTAATTGAAGCTCCGCTCTTCTTTGATTGATCTCCTCCAAGAAGGCCCCAAGAAGCGCCCAGGAGGCCCCAAGAGGCCCCAAGAGGTCCCAAGGTGGCCCCAAGCTGGCCCCAAGAGGCCCCCAAGAGGCCCCCACGAAAACCCTCAGCGGCCCCAAGAGGCCCCCCCGAGGCACCCAAGACCCCGAGGAGCCACCCAGGATCGCCAAGAGACCCCCAAAACGTCCCAAGAGGCCACCAAGAATCGCCCAAGAGATACCCCAAGAGGCTCCGAGAGGCATTCAAGAGACCTCTGGCCCTTGTGTTTGCCCTCCTCCTCCTCCTCCTCCTGTTCCTCTTTCCTGCTCCTACTCCTTCTCTTCCTCCTCCGCCTCCTCCTCATCCTATTCATCATCCTTCTTCCCACTCCCTCATCCATCCATCCATCCACCTCTTCCTTCTCCTCCTCACTCCTTTGCACGGTTCGGCCGTCCGCCTCTTTGCTGCCGCACTTCCCTGATCACCTCAACTCGCCTGGACATCCTTTCTGGATGAACTGGTGGGGATATTTTTTTTGTGTCGCGGCCGCGGGACAAAGGTCAGGCGGCAAGAAGCAAAGTCTGGGGCACGAGCGAGGCTAATTAGCTACAACAGGCACAGGCCGGTCGGCCCGCTCACAAAGCAGCCGCGAAGCTGAAGGGGAGCTGACGGCAGGGGTATCCTGAGAGCTCGAGCACGTGCACAGACAAACTGGCATGGAATTCGGTGCCTGCCACAGTATGAGACGTGAACCAGGATAACCAAGCCCGTCAATCTGAGTGGGGGCACGACCCACACAGTAGAGACGTGAACCAGGATGGTCAAGTCCGTCGTGCTGAGTGGGGGTAAGTGGGAGGCCATTGGAGTCAGTCGCCAGTGGGGCGCCAGGCTCCAAACGCCCGGACGACTTGAGCTAGCCAGAAAGGCTGAGCTGTCGTGAGCCGTGGTGCAACGCAACTGGGGAAAGCTGAAGGTGAGCCTGGAATGCTGTACCTGCTGCGGAAGGCTGAACCACTCCGTAACGAAGCCAACACCTGTCAGACCACCCCACAGCGCAAGGGGGAACCGAGCGACTGTGGGCCTCGCAGTGCGTGCCGGCAAGGCGTCAGGCCTCTGAGTGGGGGGGGGGCAGCTGGCGTGGTCAGCATCGCCAGCGGGGAAGAGTAGAGGGAGCTGCACTGGTGGTAGTGTTGCCCTGAAGGCGAAACTAGACCAGAGCAGGCGAATCCCAAAGAGAACAGAACGGGCTGTACCTCCCGGGGCACGTGGCGCCTGTGCGAGCGAGGCGTGCCGATGCCATAGGGCGATGCGCCTGGGGGGGCTGCGCTGTGGTAGACACGAGGGCCAACGGGCGCAAAGTCTGGCCCAGTCCGCCGCTTGGCACTTCCGCCCAAGACCCAGGGAAAGCCAACACACGCCACGTGGTCCTCCAGCGTCGCAGCTAACCGCCGCTGTGAGTGATGAGCCAAACCCCGAACAGCGAGGGGCACGGGCGGCCCTGGGAGGGGGGGCAACAACACCGACGTCTGACAGTACGTCTGGCGGGCCCCGGGGCCAAGGGCGGGGGGCACTCGCCTGGCCCGAGAGGGGAGAGGCGAGGGGAAGCAACGCCTCTCCCCGCGGCCTGGCCCCGAACCCGTGGGTCAGGGGCCATGGTCATTCTCTTGGGTCCTCCAGGGGCGCAGCTAATCGCCGCCCAAGAGCAAGTGGTATCGATTTTTGGTCCTCCAGGGTCGCAGCTAACCGCCGCTGATGTTTGTGAATCTGTAGTGTGACAAAACTGTGACCAGGTTAGGTCGCGTTCCCCGCCAGGCAGGCGGGGGGGAGGCAGTGGCCCACTTCCTGCCCAGGGGCAGGAGGTGGGCCACATCATCCCCCTCGCCTGCCTGGCGGCGAGAAATTGCTTGGTTCCTCCAGGGTCGCAGCTAACCGCCGCTCAAGACAATGAAATGGTGGGTGGGTCCTTCAAAGGTGGTAAGGGCCGAGGGAGGGAGGGGTCCTACGTGGACCTCAGGCTGTGCTTGCCTCAGCCCTCTGTGTAAGAGCAGTGTGCGATGCCACTTCCAGCCTCCGCCACGCGCGCTGATCCCAGCGCTGTAGCTGATGACGTCTGGCTCAAACTTTGCCCCTCGTATTTCGCTGAGGAGCGGCAGAACCTGCGCCCGCTGTCCAACCTTCCCACGCGCGCTGATGTCGGCATTGTAGCTGATAGCGTCTGGCTGCAGCGTCGCCTTCCACATCTTGCTGCGCGGCGAC